ATTAATAGTGTGAGCGTGGAAATAGTTCATGGAGAACGATGAAGAGCCAGACCTTCGCGATCGTGGATACAAGACACGGAAGATGCAATGGCTATGTAGGCGCATAGGGCTGGAGAATTAGCCAGCGAAAGAAATACTTTCAGGGGTGTCGTAACAACAGTGGCGTTCGGTAAAAATGTGGTTTGAGGTTTTTGAACAACGGATCAATATAATGGCACACGGGTAGTAACCCATAAGTGCGCCGTTCTTCTTTCTAACTCATGTCTGAGACTCTGTAGCATCAGCGAGGATTCTGGAAAACTTTGGGTAGATTTTTAACTCCAAATTTTGCCCGGGCAGCGACGTTAGGCTACTCTTTTCGATTTCCAACTGCCAAGGAATTTTTTGAGTGCGCAACAATGTACACGGGTGTCCGATCTCACTACAAGGGAGAATTACTAGAAGTCCAAGTCCACGTGAAAAAAATCGCAGGCCTTACCGGAGTTTGAACCCGAAACCTCTAGCACTCGCCATGCCTCGAGACCACGCAGTCACCGGTAAAAATAAAACATATTGATTATGAACATTGAATGGTATAGACAACAACTGCAAATTACTGACTACTTAACGTAAAGTGGGCTAGTAAAACAACAAGACAGCGATTAAACGCTGGATTTGGTTTGTGAACACACATAATGATCAATGGACAATGTAATGTATAAGTGTGACAAATTCATCAATGAAATAAATGGTATTAAATGATATTGTGTATCGTTTGTTAAATTTTATTGGGAACCTTAGAAAAATGCCAGATTTAACTACTTTTTTAGCCATGGGTGCCACACAAATATATAATGAGTGATTATATCATGAGAACGATTATGGACATGCCAGAAATTGTGGTTTGTAGTCATAACATAAATAACTTGCGTTATGCTGATGACACCGTCTTGATAGCGACAAGTCAGAAACAACTACGGGAATTGATATATACGTTGGTGGTAGAAAGTGATTTGATGAGCTTCATTTGAATAAGAGGAAAATAGAAATAATGGTGATTTCGAAGAAAATAATAGTGTCTAAATGTATCATGAAAGGTAAAGACGTTACTTAAGGACAGTTACATCAATTAAATATCTAGGCACATGTATGCCATCTGCTGGAAGATGTATTACATAGATAAAGAACAAAAATATGACAGGCTAAAACTGACTTTCATTAAATGAAGAACATTTTGTACAATTAATCCATATCATTGGAGGTTGGGTAAAGAATTCTTGCGTGCTGTGAAGCCTGGATAATTAATCAACAAGCTGAACACTATCTTAAGGCCTCGGAGATGTGGTTTTACTGAAGAATACTTAGAATTCCTCGGACAGCTAAGAAGGGAAACCCAGATGTTATGAAAAAGACGAATGCGTAAAGACAACTTATCACAAACATCAGAAGAGAGACGCTCCTTATTTTTTGGTCATTCTAATGCAGGAGGGGAAATGGAACATGTAACCACTGTGAAGGTTTGTGGAAGGATTGACAGAGGAGGACAGCACATGGCATGTAGGGGTGTCAACACACGAACTGATACACGCAATTGCGGATCGCAGATTGTGGAGAGGCATGATCGGCCACGCCAGTCGGCAAGGCACCTGATGATGATCACACACACACACAAACATATATTGGAAAAGGGGAGGAGTGGGGGGGGGGGGGGGGGTCGACCAGCTGGTCAACAGATTTTGGATTTCAGCAGCTTAATCCTTTCAGTGTGCCCCTCTTCCTCATCGGAAGAAATTTCTTCTGCTATTTCTTGTTCCGCTGCTGGCAAAGGTGCTAAACAGTGTTGCCACTTTGGATTTTTTACATCAAAATTTAGATCTTTTTTATTGCATTTAGATGGTGTTTTTGACGTTTAGATCGTAAATATTTTTCTAGATTCTTTTCGTATGGAGTTAGATATTTTATAGATTTGTTTTCCTTTCAGTGTCAATGTAATAATTACTGTGTAAAATATTTACTACAATATTTTTGTTTTGGTCTGACACGTACATTGTGACAACTGTCCTTACTTGAACGTTGAACTCTCACTGGGGTCACACACACAAATATCTGGCAGCCCCGATACTGATTAAAAACGCGCGTAAATCTTTGTTTCAACCGTATCCTCACTGTGCTGACTTCGTGTTTCTTTTTCATGTTGTTGAAAAAAAAAAATTGCTCACCTTCATATGTGGCTTTTACTCTGAAAAACCTTTCAACATGCCAAAAGTAAAATATGAGCAAAAAATTTGGAACGAGTGGTTGCATGATGACAAAATTAAAAACTGGTTGATGGCAGTTCCTGTGTATGACCGAAGCTCGTTGTAAGTACTGCAAGTGTGAAATTAAAGTGAAAATACAAAACTCAAACAGTCATGCAGAGACTTAAAAAGCACAAAACTGCAGTTCCATTTAAAGATATTACACCGCTGACATCTGTTTTCAGAACTATACTGATAAATGAATCATCAAAAGTTGAAGTATAGGTCGCAATGTTTTTAATTTGTCACTGTGCAATTTCAAACTGTGACCATTTGATCGATTTGTTAAAACATCTTGGACTAGTTCAATTTGAAAAGTGTGATGTAGAAAGTATAGTTTAGGAACTGAAGGACCTTTTAATCAGCAAACAGTTAGGCTTGAAGAATTTGGCTTTAATTGGTACTGATAATGCCTCAGGTGTGGTTGGTATAAACAATGGCGTTTATGCCAACTTGAAGGAAGCTATCCCATCGTTAATACTAATAAAATGTATGCGTCATTCATTGCAGCTAGCATTATCACATGCTTCATTTAAATATTTACCAAGGAATTTTGAATACCTTATTGCTGAAACACTTTACTGGTTTTCCAAATCATTTGTCAGACAACAGCAATACAATACATTATATACAGGCTTGAATGATGGTTCCACACCACCGCAAATTCTGTCAGATTGCAAAACTAGATTGTTATCAATTTAACCAGCTGTTGAAAGAATTATGAAGCAATGGTTGAAGTTGAAGACACACTTTGAAATAACAAGACAAAGTGAAAAGTGCTACACAGCTGAAATACTATATGGAATTTACAGTGATGAAAAAAATTTGTCATTCATTCTCTTTTTATAACCTATTCTAATAGAAGTGCAAAAAGTTAATAAACTGTTCGAATCTAAACATGCTGATAAAGTTAAATTACTTGATGATCTCACTTTGCTATTTTACTCAATTGGTAAAAGACGGGTGTTGCCAACTTCTAAAGCTGATTTGCTCACTTGCACTATAGAGAGCTATTTGGCTCCTAAGCCACACCTTGGATATCAAATCGAATCAAAAATTGATGACTCAAAAAAAAAAAAAAAAAAGGACTGGTAACAGAGAATGAAGAAAACTTAAGAAAACGCTGTCAAGATTTCCTTATCTCATTATTCAAGCAACTGAAGCAGAGACTTCCTGAAAATCTAGATGTTTTGAAAAATATTTCACTTTTTTCTGTGAGCAACATATTTCAGCCAGTATAGGACCTACCTAAATATTGTAAAGTAATGAAATTTTAGGGGCTACTGATAAAAGTGTCTCGGAAGCAGAATATCAGTTAACCAAAATAAAGTTAGCTGAATGGACAAACAAAACAGAAACTAAAGTTTTGGAGTGAAGTGAGACAATTTAAAGATGCCACATCAAACAGTCCATTCTGTAAGCTCTTTAAAGTGCCATGTCTGCCATGATACTACCCCACTCAAATGCTGACGTAGAAAGAGTTTTCAGTGCTAGGAATTATATCAAATCTAACCTAAAAAATAGGATGATATTTGACCCCTTAAATGCTATCGTGCCATTAAAATTCAGCCTGATGAGACTAGGGAAATAAGCCTACTGTTCCACTTATAAAGAAATTTGAACAGCTAAAGCATACCAGAGTCATTTTGGATCTGAAGCTTCAACTTCATTATCCAAGCTAAGTTTATCCTGTGGATCTTGTGAGGCAGACATCAGTGAAGGTGAGGACATGATTATGTAGGATAAGTCATAACAAAAGCTATGTAATTTTTTGACTTTTTCAATTTGGAGGTTTTTCTAGATCTTTTCCACGCAGATTTAGATCTTTTTAGATATTTTTGACACTGTTTTGAATATTTTTTGTCAAAGAAAAGTGGCAACACTGATGCTAAAGCTCTTGCGTTTTCAGCTCGCTCGCATGATGGCCACATGTCAGACGTTTACACGGCGGCGTTCGAGTTCTAAGTAATATGTTCTTGATTTTGTTGTTCGAAATCCAAGTACTTCGAGTTTTGAGGCGTTCGAATTCCGTGCATTTTGCTGATGTGATACACTATATGGACCCTTTTCCACGCCTTTAGGTGTATTGGGCATATAGGGCTAGACATATATTTTATTGACCAATAGGTACATATAGGGTTATGCTTTCAGCATCACGCTGGCTGCCTTTACTTCTCTGGACTCCACCTTGTACCCACTCAATGTGGGTCCACCTAGAAGCCACGGTAATTTTTTTTTTTCAAAACGTCCATCAGGACCCGAAACCATGTCCCTTTGATCCGCAGAAGAGCTTCTAGCCGCTGCACCACGGCGACTCCAGATACACAGTATCGCCAACCGTCAACTGAAAGCTAGCTAGTTTAGTAAACTAAAGCTAGGTTCACACAGAGGCATTCACGCATACATCCATTCGCACAGAATAAGTATGCCGAAAGAAATTAAAACTTTACTTCATTATTATAATTGTATTTTTCTTTCAAACAGTTAGTTGAGCTGATTCAAGAACTGACATCACAACGTTTGGGACATTCCCATAAGCGATCCGTCCACATCTTCACCAGCCAGCGCAGAGTTCCCATACCAATTGTACTAGAAGCATTCTGATTATAGGTCCATTTTGCTTTTCCTATCAGCGTGGAGGATTTGCCAGATTTCCTCGTCGAAACAGTTAAAAACAATTTCATGTTAAATTACAAGCACCTTCTCTTCTTCCTCGCGAAACAATTAATGCGATTGTGTAGGAGAGTTGTCTTTGCTTGGTCCTGGCGGCGAGACTTGGTGGTATTCCATCTTCTGATATGTCTTTCCATCCTTCTGAACTAATAAAATGGCGTTATTCATCTTCTCCAGTTGTACAAGTTCTAAAAAAGCATCAACTACAGTCGATACGCTGTAAAATAGAAACGAATCAACAATATCAGTGTAAACACATTTGTTTGATTAACATTATTAACATACAAGGTAGACTTCTTTTTTTTCAAAATGTAAGAGTGTTAATTTTCACACATTGCAAGCGGACTCTAATATCAGTTTTATCATGAACGAATGAATTCTACTTCAAGAACATTTGAACAGGCTGAGTTCAACAAGCAGAAGATATAACATGAAGAAAAAAAAATACTGCCAAAACTGAAGTAATTCAGGGGAGCATAATTCCTAGTCCACTACATATCATGTTGAATGGTACCTGTCTGAGTTACCGTTATCAAGACATTCAAACATAAATATGAGCTCCAAGAAACAGATTATAAACAGCATATTCATACCAACACTTTGCTACTAGCGCCAGACTTGGACATTATCAAAGACTAACCTACGTAACTTTAACATATGTGAAATGAGATGCCTCTGAGAAGCCGCCAACATAACCATCCCAGACAAAGAAATTATATTATCAGACAAACTGTAGGAACTACACCATGCAGCAAATTCATCGAGAAACAGAAGATCGAATGGTTTGGCCATTGAGTAAGAATGCCGCCAGAACAACTACCAATGCAGGCGCTACTCATGAAATGATCGGAAGTGAATGCAAGAGGCCGTCCTAGAAGGTAATGGGTTGATGACGTTAAAAAGTTTCTACATCGACACAGAATGACAGTAGCCATTGCTACCAATCAAGCAATGGATCGCAAAATGTTCCTCCCCACAACGCCTAACGGTAGAAGTGGAATCTGATGATGATGAATGAACACTTCAAGAATCGACGTGCTCACAGGACATTCCCAGTAGTGTTCTGTCCATTTGTTCGGCAGCCAAGGAAAAGTCTCCCATACCGTTGGTGTACAAACGTGATTAGAAGTCCAAGTGACTTGCCCTTCCTCTCTCCTACGCCCTGGGTGGACAATGTCCGGCCAGCAGCCAGAAAAAGCCAGTCTAGCCATATCAAAAGTAAGCGTGGTGTAGTGACTGTGCGCTCGCTTGCGGGTCGGAAGGTTGGTTCGGGTCCTAATGGAGTCTACAGTCGGTAGACGCGAACAAAGAAAAACACAAGTCAAACAACAGAGTGTTAGACATAGACTTATTTTGCGCCAACCACAACTCGATGGATGAGTGCCATGCCGGTCATCTTAATATCCCCGAACATTTCTAAGAATTCATATTTCGACTGGAACTGCATTCGAGACCAGACCAGTCAGGGGTGGGGAAATTCCCATTTAGATGCGGATTGGAACGCTTGATTACCAGGCGACAAGCAAGCGTCCTAGTCAATGCCCAACACCCCGCCCCTAGCCCTCTTACATTAGATAGCCGAATAGCTTGTTACACAAGCCGGTAAATGATTCAGTCACTAGTCGGTTATAAACAAACACAACACGAACTCAGTCCTTACACTCCATCAGCAGTCGGTACAAACAAACTAGGGCTGTACCGAAACGTGATTTTTACTATTCGGCCGAATACGAATAACGGGACCAACTATTCGGCCGAATACGAATAGTGTATCATTATCATCAAGTGCCTTGTCGACTGGCGTGGGCGATTATGCCTCGCCACAATCTGCCATCCCCTGCAGCATGTATTAGTTCGTGTGCTGACACACCTCCATGCCATGCAACAAGACTCAAGAATCTTCTCTCGTTGTCTTCCTCTATCCCTCCTTCCACAGATCTTTCCAGTGGTCACAAGATGTGGCACTTTCCCTCCTCTCATAACATGGCCGAAAAATGATGACTTTCTCCTTCTGATGTCTGTGATAAGTTGTCTTCGGACTCCCGTCTCTTTCAGAACCTCTTGGTTGCTTTTTTTTTTTTTTTTTTGGCTGTCCAAGTTATTTAAAGCATTGTTCTGTAAAACTACATCTCTGAGGCCTCAAGAAATTGTTTGGCCTGCCTACCGATTGTCCAGGACTCACAGCCATATGTTAAAACTGGATGTATGTGGCAAGCAAGAATTCTTTTTCTAACCTTCAATGACAAAGATATATTGCATAAAATGTTCTTCATTTTATAAAATGCAGTTTTTGCCTGTCCTATTCTGTTTCTAATTTCAGTAGTGCATCTTTCATCTGATGTTATATCCATGTGCCCAAATACTAAAATGTCTGTACTTGTCCCAAAATAACACCGTTGACCTTTATTACACATTTAGGAATAATTCTTTTCTTTGATACCACCATTACTTCTGTCTTCCCACTATTTAAACTGAGGCCCTTTCTTCCACTTTCGAATAGTGTAGTGTATAAAAATAAATATTTAAAAAAAAAACATTTAAAATGTCAAATGTACGCTGAACTTTTACTTCACAAAATATAGTACAGAATAGTAAACATGTAAAAACATTTTATATTTTGCATCCTTCAGTTAGTCAGTCTGTGGCAACTAATGTCTTGGAATGAAAGTATTCTTAGTTTTATCACAAGTGACTAAACTTGTAAATTGTCACTGACAGCTTAGTTAACGCATGAAAGTGGCATTAGTTTTCAGGAAAAAAAAAAACATTCATTCCATGTTGTCAGCATTAGGGCAGCTTCTCGTCTTACTAGGTATTTCCAGCTGTACTAAACAGACGTTCACTTGGTACGATCGTAGGTGGTGCACAAAGATAACGCTTGACAGTATGAACCAAGGTGGGAAATCTTGACCTGTTTATTTTCCACCAGTCTAGAAACTGGTGTAAGGTAACCACTATCTGTATTCGGCCCGACCGCAAGTATTCGGCCAAATACCGAATAGTTTTTAGGTCCACTATTCGGCCTCGAAGCGAATATTCGGTACAGCCCTAATACAAACACAACATAAACTTAGTACTCACAGTCTATCAATAGCTAACTCGGTCTCACACACACACACACACACGCACACATACACCACGATGTCTCTACTTACGGCATCGTGTTCTCCTCAATGGTTTCCTTCACCTTGTCGAAGAAATGTATTTTATCACTGTCCAGTTTCAGTATGAGATCCGTGGCTGCAGCTTCGGGGCACAGGATGCCAAACTCAACTCCCAGGGCAGCCAGGTCGTACTGGAGCTGAGCAATGACCCCACAAAAATGAATTACAGAACTTCTTTTTCTTCTTCGTTTTCTTCTTCTGTTTCTTCTCTTTTTTCTCCTTTTTCTTCTGTTTCTTCTTCTTCTTCTTTTTTCTTCTTCTTCTTCCTCTTCTTCTTATTCTTCTTCTTATTCTTCTACTTCTTATTCTTCTTCTACTACTTTTTTTTTCTCTTCTTCTTCTCCTTCTTTTTTCTTCCTCTTCCTCTTCTTCTTTTTTTTTTCTTCCTCTTCTTTTTCTTCTTCTTCTTCTTTTTCTTCTTCTTCTACTACTTCTTTTTCTTTTTTCTCTTCTTCTTCCTCTCCTTCTTCTGTTTTTTCTTCCTCTTCCTCTTCTTCTTCTTTTTTTTCTATTTCTTCTACTACTACTTCTTTTTCCTCCTCTTCTTCTTCTCCTTCTTCTTCTTCCTTTTTTTTTCTTCATTTTCTTCTTCTTCTTCTTCTTCTGCTTCTTCTTATGTTTTTTCTTCCTCTTCGTCTTCTTCTTCTTCTTTTTTTTTTCTATTTCTTCTACTACTACTACTTTTTCTTTTTCCTTTTCTTCTTCTTCTTCTTCTTCTTCTTCTGCTTCTTCTTCTTAGCGTTTACAAGCTGTAAATTCTGACGCAAATCTATGGTTGTTCATCCACTGTTATGCGTGTAGGATAAAAAGATAAGGCTAGTACCTCGAGAAGGGGGACAGTCAGATCCTTTCTTAGTGGTTTGAATTCCTTGAGCCCTATTTCTTTACCTAGCTCACTTATGCCGGGCAACAGTCTTGGCTGACTGACAAAACTAAGTGAGCGGAAACCATCCTGGGTAGACAATGCTCAAAAGCACTGAAAGGCAATTCATCTACAGGAAAGACACATCGAATCCCAAACCACCACTGCCTTGTGGAAGTTCCTGTAAGCACAGAAGCTAGGGCAACAAATCCTGACAGAAAATATGGGTAGGTAGAGCTCATAAGCCATGTAAGGCAACCAGCCTATGGGAGGGGGAATCCTGAAAATAAATCTCAGCCGTCGAAGTCGGAAAATGTCAGCCTACTTGACACAATCGGGCATCTACACACTAGCGATATGGTCATGCAAACAACATTATTACGTTATGGTGTCATTCCTATGGGACCTGGCCGGGTAGGGATGGCGCCGGGCCTCCTGCCTCGAAGAAGCCCACGCCAAGCTACTACAGCCACAACCTCTGAATCTTCTAGAGGGACCAGGGAAGAACAAACTAACACAGCTGGACATAAACTGACAATCATGCACTGGATTTCTTGAAGCAGCACGATATTGACATATGCTGCATCCAAGAGACTCACCTCACAAGTGCACACAGATTCTCTTTCCGAGGATACTAAATCTTCCGACTTGACAGGTCAGATCGTCCAAAAGGAGGACTCTTGACTGCTGTCAAGAACACGATCACAGCTTTGGAAACGCAGAGATCTCAGTGTGGGGATACAGAGTTTATCACAGTCACTATTAGGGTGTAAGGGGAAATGTCTCAGTATGCAATATCTATTCCCCACCAAACAGAGATATTGATCTAGGACCCATCCAAACAAACACACAAGAGTGGATTGCTGTCGGAGACTTAAACAGACACTCGCCCAGCTGGGGCTACACAGACCTCGGTGCAAAACGAGAAGAGGTAGAAAATTGGATCGTCAGCAAGACTCTGGTTCTGATAATTCAGCCTACTGACCCAGATACACATTACTCTCGATCATTTAGGAAAACTAACACCCCAGACTTGGCGATAGCAACTGAGTATGTGGAGAAAGTTACCAGCCTGGATGTATGTCAACAGCTGGGAGTCAGTGATCGCAGGCCTAGCTGGAACTACAAGAAGGCTAACTAAAGCCTTTTCACTTTCTAGCTGGACGACAGCTGGATAGTCTTCTTCAAAAGATTGGAACCAAACGCCATGCTGAAGATCCTCAACACAACTATTTTAAATGCAGCCGTGGGTAACATACCACGGGGCAGAAAAAAAAACGTTAAACTACTCGTCTCGTGAACTGGACGCTGTCGATTCTAAACTGGGTACCAGGAGGGAAAATGTGGAGAAGGATCCTTCAGGCAAAAATGTTATAATTCATAAAAGAGCAAAAGCAGCTTTCATCAAAGGGAGAGATCAACAGATGAGGGAAATCATGCATAAAAGAGACGGCATCATTTAACCTCGAGAAGGACACTTTATGTCTGTGGAATCTCGCGAAAAGCCTGAATAAAAGACAGAAAAAGCCGCAGATGTACCCCAAACAGTAAAAGGGGCGGTTACTGGCAGGGTAGTAGCAGATATACTCGCTACAACCATATCAGAAGAAAAGTTTGATCTATATTCCCATGCAAAGAATAAAAGACTTGAAAACAACTGAGGCCTGCATTTCAGAAAAGTTGGGGCTGACGGCATTACAAACGAATGTCTCTCTCATCTTGGGCATATTGCCAAGGAGTTTCTCATCTGAATTTACAACCAGAGCTGGCAGAAAGGTGTAGTACCGTCAGCCTGGAAGGAAACCCTCAACCAGCCTATCCTTAAAAAAATGTCGAAACAGAAGAGACTCAGAAAGCTAAAGACCAATCAGTTTTCTTAGTTGTGGGAAAACTGATGGGGAAAAACTAGTTAACAATGGACTAATGTAGTTCCTGGAGACAAACTCGGTAATCACCACTACACAGACGGGATACAGACAGCACAGAAACATAGAAGACCAGTTGACGTATCTGGCACAGGACATTGAGAATATCTTCCATAGATTAAAAAAGACAGTTCTTGTTGCCTTCTTTGACCTCTCTCGTGCTTTCGTGCTACGGGCAGGAGTTGTGCACATGTTCAAGTGGATCAAAGACTTCCTTTTTCCAACGTAGGGCCAGATTCAGAATTGATGGACACGTTGGCACACTGTCAAAACTAAGAGGAGTTCCTCAGGGCACAGCGATCGCACCAACCCTGTTCCTTGTTTACATTTATGATATTACAACAGCATGCCACCAGCGTGTTTCTAATACCCTACATGCGAATGTGCAGTTTGCACAGCCTCCGAATACACGACTACAGCCTCATTTCTGTTACAGAAAATTGGAAAGTGTGGAAGCCTGGACTGAAAAGTGGGGTCTAAAGCTAAGTAATTCAAAGAGCATAGTCACCCTTCTCTACTAAACCACTTGAACTTAGAAGACAATACAAAACTCTTCTACAGTATGAGAAATTATAAAGACTACAAAGTCACCCTCTGCATTAAAATTTAAAAAAAAAGGATAGAAAAGAAACAGACTTAAGCATCAGAACCCCAACCATCTTGCTGGAGTAAAGACCGTCTCCATCTGTCAGATGGAGATGGTCTTGCCAAAGAACTGTGCAGTCAGCACCAAGATCTACTTGAAAGATGTTGCACTGTGCGAAAAGCTTAGACCAGAACCATGGACAATGAATCTTCAAATGTCTTGTTTCCATCACCTTCATGGAGGCCTGCCTCTGCGCTGTTCCTGGAAATTGTACTCTCCAAGACCCTTCTCTCCAAGCCATCATGACACTTAATATGGCCAAAGTTCATCCGTTTTGGGGACAACCAGCCCGCCCCCCTCTCCCATTTTCCTGCTGCACAACTAGCGTAAAATAGCCTTTACTTCTTGTTTTACTTCTCACTTGAGCTGAATGTTGAATAAGGAATCCAGAACATCACAGCACTCGGAACACTCCCATAAGTTCTCAATCCCCATTGTCTCTTTTCTCATGCTGTCATCACTTACGTGCAAGGTTATTTCCACGTTGTGACGCTTACCCGACGGTTGGTGAGTATCAAAATTGCGAAATTTTGGATTTCTACGTTCCTTGTCAGTGGCTTCT